AAGTGCTGAATCTTTTGAATAGGGCAGTTTTACGGTGGAATTGGGATGGAGGAAAGAGAGCTCTGAGAATGGGAGGTGGAAACTAAAGTCTTCACGAAGGAGGGAGTGACCAGGAGTCACCAAATGACCATGACCAGGACAGGGAAGGACCCTGGATCACTAAGGAGTGGGGACTTTGAAGTCCATCTGGCCGATGATAACTGTTCACTGATCAGCTTCTGCAAGCCAGACTCTGGGCCAGTAACACCCAAAACAGCGATGTGTGAAACAGAAGGGCCCTGCCCGGTGGTGTTCAGGTCCGACTGGAGAGATGGGGTGGTACAACAGGTATCCTGTGCCAAAGAAGCCGTTTTCAGTTTGTATAGAAAACAGTACTAGAATCTGAGTCCCGGCATTCCAGGTATCTCGCTCAGTGCCCTGTGCTTGGAAGCCTCTGCGGGGGGTCTTGGTGCTCTTCTCTCATGGTTCAAACATCAGAGGAGATTTTGATGGGAAGCTGCCGTGTGAGTCGTCAGAGTCACTGCTAGTCCAAGGGATGCTTTTGTTCGTTAAGAAAATGGTACTTTTCCTTTTAGGAACTCTGCTTCCACTTGCCGGAAAGCCATTGTGATAAAGGCAGTGAACACAGTCTAGGACGAGAGGGCTCTAGCTCAGCTGCAGTCCCTGCACTGGGAGGAGGGGGCGCTCAGGAGCCCTGGAGGTAACCAGTTAGCTGCTAAGGGCTTTAGCACAGGGTTCTCCCACATCCATGTGTACAGGAAGCACATGGGCCTCTTAATAGTGCAGATTCTGATTCAGCAGGGCGGGAGTGCAGCCTGAGGTTCTGCGTTTCCTGCAAGATCCCAGCCATGCTGGAGCAGTTGGCTCAACAGGTGGGCAAGTGTGACCCTTCCTTGGTGTTAGAGGCTGGGCTTAGGGAGGGGCCTCAACACCAACACTGAAGACCTGCCTCCTTTGCATTTAAGGGAGTGTAGTCTAAGGAAGAGAGTTTAGCTACTGCACAGGAAAGGGATGGATGACAATAAAGTGATCTGGGATGTGCTACTGACTCCAGGTAGAGTCTAGACTCCCAGGGAAGCAGAGCCTCCAGGACTGGCCTCCTCAGAGAGGAGGAGCCAGGACTTGAAAGTTGTCCCCAGCCCCAGGCGAGAAAGGAAGCTATTCAAGACAGGGCCAAGGTTGAGGGGACAGCCAGGGGAAAGGCACACAGTGGTGATGTCATGATAGTGTTACTGCTGTTGACCGGTGACGAGTTCTTGCTCCCCGATGTTGAAGAATAACACCAAAGAAGCACGCCGAGGCAAGGCCAGAGTAGAGATTAGAAATTTATTAAAGGACAGAAGAAAAGACTTCTCCCGGAGGAAGAAGGGGACCCAAAAGGTGGAATCCGTGGAAGTGTGGTTGTTTCCCCTTTTTATAGTTCTTTCAGTCATGGAATGTAGGTTGGAAGGCCCCAGGGGTGGGACACAGGTGGGCCAAAGAAGTAGTCTGAGCAGGAAGGACTTCATTATCACTTCTTTGTGATGGGCTCATTAACATTTCTTTGGGATGGGCTGTCTTCAAATCTGTTGGGGGCTGTTCATTAATACTTCCAGGTGGACTTTGGCCTAGGGCCTTTTGGGAACTTCATTAACATTCCATGAGTTGTCCTGTGTTTTCCCTGAGTCATTCCCAGCATGGCCTCCATTTTAGATTTCACTGGGTATTAGACCCGATTTACCTAACTACACTAACTACCTAACTTTAAATCTGGCTTCAATAGTTACAATGCAAACAACGATAATTAAGAAACTAATAGCTGTTGGGGGTTTGCTGCTGTAGGACCCATTTCCTTATAACCTCAGTGAGGTCCAGCTGGCTTTAGGCAATGTTACCGTACCTTCTAGAAGGAATGGGTGACATGGTGTTGAGTGACAGTATTCATCAGATCTTCAGTAGGAATAAGTGGCCCTCATCCTTCAATTACTGTATGCAGCTAGGATGGGTTTGGGATCCTAAGTGATTCTGAAGTGTTTGGGCCATTTCATTTCTTAGATTTATTTTTTTTCCACCGACATTTGCAACCTCTTCAGGTGCAGCATGTCTAGACAACACACCCATGAAAAAGTCACTTCTAATATCCATGATGCTAATTAAAAGACAGCCTCTGGTGTTGATGGGAAGTAGCTGGAGCAGACACTTGGAATGTGGGTTTCTGTCTGGAGTCTTTCAAATGGTAAACTGCACCCCCCCCCAGGGTGTGTTCCCAATTAGGATACTACAGATGTTGACTCCCTGCACCTAGGTGGAAATTAAGGCTCATCCAGATAGACCTCAGGGTCTGCACTGAGGTATTTTGAGTTACAGGCACTATAAAAGACATAGTGACTTAAGTTTTTATTTAGTTCTAAATTATAAAAGCAACACATGCTTCTTGTATAAAATTTGGGAAATGTATATTCATATACTATGAAATTATTCAAAATCTATATCCAGTGATAACTTTCAATATGTAAATCCTTCTTTGGTATGTATAAATATGTAGCTATTAGCCCATCTGTATAATATTACTTTGGACTGAGGGGTACTTGTGATTGTCAGTCACTGAGCTTCAAATCCTGCTCTCGTGGCCTCACAGATCCGTGGTTCCTCCGCTGTTCTTCATACACGTGTTTTCCATTGGTGAAGGCAGAGGGGAGGAGACAGATGGGGTAGATTTTTCTAACTGACTGTGCTGGGCAGGGAGTTGGATGTTGGAGTTTAGGCAGGAATGCTTCGCGAGGCCTCTGGGTCACCTGGGATAGCAGGTGGGGGATCTCCTGTCCACCTGGAAGCAATGGAGGCAGCTGGTTAGAGGCTGGCCTTCCTCCTATCCACATTTGCACTTTTGGGGATGGAATTCAGCTGACCTCCTGGTCCTTCCTTTTTCTTGAGTGGATTCCCGTGTTGACTTCCTGGAGTAGCGTCTGATATCAGTTGAGATTTTCCTTAAAACCTATTTTTAGTACACAGAGGTGTCACTGGAAAGTCAAATCCACGAAGGAAGATTTTTCGCCTGCTGGGTTCAATTGGAGATCCCAGTGTGATCGCCAAAGACCAACCTCCGAAGACTCTATTTCAAAACTCTGTACAAATCGTGCAATTTGAAATTAACTTCAGCAGATGGAGAAAGTGGGGAAACGAGTATCTTAAAGGGTTATTTTTTTAAAACGTTATTTAAATATTAATAACATTCCGTGTTATGAACTCCGTGGAATTCGGTTCCCTTGCTGCATTCCCCCAAAGCCTGAATTCATCTATAGCTCTGCTTCAGTTGATAGAGGAATGAAATGAAGGCCACCGGAGCCAGCCAGTGGAGCCAGCAGCTGGACTTGAGCCTCTGCGCTGCCCCTCTCCCTTCCTTCTGCCCACAGTCTTGGAGCTTGGTGGCCCTTAGTCTCTGTGACTTGTGGAGTGTGTGGGCAAGGTCTGTTGTCCCCAGCTCCAGTCCCTGGGAGGACTTCTCTCCAGTCAACATTCTTGGTTCAGGAGGATTTTGCTTTTTCAGTTTCCCTTTTTAGTCCACCCCCTCCAGCCCTGGGGTCTTTCATCTGTTTCAAAAGAAGGACGTTTAGAAAATTCCGTCCCATTGACTACAGAAGAAAGCCCGGCGTGGACGGGCGAGATGGGCCCCATTAGGTGTTCATCGCAGGCGACGTGCTGAACACAAGCTCTGAAGCTTGAGAGTGTCGCCCCTGGTTAGAGTCTGATTCCGTTTTTTCCTTTAACAGAGGAGTATCGGTCGTCTGCAGGTGGCAGGCTGTCTGCTTGAGTCTTAAGGGGCAAGGAGGATCGGATGGGGTGGGGAATATCCAGAGCCTATCTTTTGGAAACTCCAAGGCTGGTGGGGAAAGGAGGCAGTGCCTCTAGACCACTGTAGGGGAGCCCAGAGGTGGTGGCAGAGAGGAGGGTGCCCCTAGGAATAGAGGAGCAGACAGCCAAAGCGGCGATTTCACAGACAGCAGTTCTTTGGGAGTTGGGAGTATTCTGTAGCTGTCCTCAGTGGGTGGTTCTCCTCTGTCAGGGAGTCCAAGTGGGTGTATGCGCCAGCCGTAGCCATGTGACACCTCTGTTAGGGGTGGGTGGAGATGAGACCCTGTGGCCTGTGGGTTCCATTTGCATGTAATACACATGGTTTTATGATCAGATATTCAGGTGGAAGATCACGGCTCTCTGCTCCATGTGACTTGACCACCTCTCTTGTTTTAAAACATCATGGCCGGATTTCTGCCCTGGTCTAAGGCCAGGCTCGGTAGAGATTATCCGTTTGTTCCTGTCTATGCTCTGCACCTTCTAACCATTGCCATACTTCTCTGGACATAGCTCTTCTTCCCTTATCAAAGGTAGAAGCTACGAAGGCCGCCCCCCCTGACTGGAGTTTAGACTTTCAGCGCTGATCGGGGCCCAGGTGCGTGCAGGTGGATGCTGTGGCCCAGCTGATCTCCCTTCCTTTGCGTGTGCTCCTGTGCTGCTTCAGGGGCCTTTGGCAGTCCCTCTGCCTGGCGACAGGGACCATCTGCCATCTTGACCATACAGGAGTCCATCAGCACCTGCACCTGCTCTTCATAGTGGTCCGTGAAATTCTTGATTGTCACATTCTCGGGGCTCCCATGTCTTATGTTGGCCTGTCTCCTTAGGCCACGCTCTTTGACGTTCACCTTGTTCTAGTCCGTGAAAGCACAGCACCGGGCTGGTATTTGGTGGGTAATAGGTGCCAACTAAATGCTCCTTTAACCTGTGTTAGAAGCACCTGTGCATATGCCTGCTCTGGAGGGCCCTCACAGAGTCCATTATTAACATATTTAACTGCCTCCATTTGGATAGACTGCAGCCACCTCTGTCATCTCTTGTGACAGAGATGAGCAGGAAGTCACCCACCAGAGAACTCTTTAATCCAGGCTCTGTGGGACAGTTCTCCTCTGCTGATTGCATCCGGGTACCACGCCAAGGACTCAGCCCTCCCTCTCTGCTCTTCCTTTCAGAAAGTATTATGAGGGAGGCCGAGGACCTCATGCTCCGGACAGAGACACGGCGCTGGGATTAGGGATTGCCACTTCTGAGAGGATGCTGGGGATCTGCAGAGGGAGACGGAAATTCCTGGCTGCCTCTTTGACTCTGCTCTGTATCCCGGCCGTCACCTGGATTTACTTGTTTGCTGGGAGCTTCGAAGGTAAGAAGGGAAGACAAAGAGAGAGGGAAGGAGGGAAGGCAGGGAAGACTGGCTGTCAGAGGCTCCCAGAAAGGGCCTCAGGGCCATCTGATGGCAAGGTCGCATTTGGTAGAAAGCCAGAATGGATGTCTGGTCCCAGGAAAGGACCTGGCTGGGGCTGCACAGGTGGCTGGGAGACAGTCACCAACGCGAGGTCAGATGGTGGGCACACCGAGTCCAGCACCCTTGGGTCAGACGGCTCACTGTGTTGATGGTGGGGGAGGTTGAACCGTGGAGAATAACTCCGCTCTTCGAGGAGACAGGGTCCCACTCTCCCATCCACCTGCTCGTTCATTTCTTCACACATTCAGCGTTTTGGTGTTGTCTGATGTCTGCCTTCAACCCCGCGCTGAGATGGATGGGGAGATAACAGTGCTGGACACTCCGGGGCTGCTGGAGGAGACGGGAGCTTAACAAATGGTCGCCGCACACAGCGGTGCGTGTTCTGCTAGAGGAAGCGGGGCTGCCGTGGGAGGGGTCTGCTGGAGTGTCAGGCCCCGACTGGGGAGGAAAGATGATCCATCGTCCTGAGAAGCCCAGCACAGGGACGGGAGAAAGCATGGCCCTCCCCAAAGAGACAAACACAAATGACCATCCCCGGCACTCTCCAGAGGTCCACAGGAAAGACAGGACGGGCCACTTTTCCAGAGAGCTATTTCAAATGCAGGGCAGTGTTTTGGGTTTCCAAGATGGCGCCCCAGCATTGGGGGAGAAGGAGTGGCAATGTTGAGGTGCAGATTTTCTTCATATTTCTCTCCCCCATACTTGAATTATAAGGGGAAAAAAAAACATTCAAAGGAAAATATGTCTCAAGGAAGTCATTTCCATGTTTTAAAACATTTCTTTTATGCATAATTTTATTGACAGCTCAAGGCTACCTTTTAATTAGGAGCTCCTCTTCCCTTCCTGAGATGGGCCTTGAGTTCGCCAGAGTGAATGGGAGCAAGGTGGAGGGAGCTAGCCGTGTGCTAGCACAGCAGGGAGGATCAGGATTCCCAGCCCAGTGCTGGGGCCCAGTGCCACACCCCTGTTACGGCTCCAATCCCTTAGCGACATCCCTGGACTGGTCATCTGAGCTGTCAGATGGAGTAGGGTGTGCCCGGGCATTGGATGGTGAACTTCTGCAAAGGGATCCGAGAAAGGGCACCTGGCTGTTGATCTACTTAGAAGAGACAGGAGGAAGCATTCTCCCCAGGAGGGCCAGGAGGAGGCCTTTCAACAGAGCACTGAGGCCACTAGGCCTCCGTCAGTATAATAAGAAGATAGCCGCTGCTCTGCAGGGTAACCAAACTGGTTTTCACTACAATTGCCAAACAATAATGGTTTCGGCGGTGCCGAAGCCACAGTGTGAACAGCGGGTATTGTGAGCTCTTCTTAGGGCCAGGCCTTGTGAGGACCGAATACCCCAGTCTTTCTTCACAATGACCCTACACAGATCCTAGTTAATGTCCCTGTTTGACAGATGGCACCTAAGTTTTGGTGATCTGCCCCAGGCCTCCAAGCCAGTCACAAAGGAACTCCCAGTCAGACTCAAGAGTCTAAGATTTTCTAAGACACCATGCTATAGATGGGGCTTCACGAGGTGTTCAATTTGAACATATGTAGTGAGGCGGAGGGAGGGTGGCCACCCGTGGCCGATGGTGTGGGTTCCCAGAGAGCAGGGATGTGACAAGAGTGCCACCTGGTCTTTCTGTAGGAAAGTTGTTGGATTTTGATTTGTGCTCCAGGGCAGAAACCCGGCTGAAACTGGTTTTGGCAGAAAGAGTTCTGGTGGTTAATCTAATTAGTGAGTTCAGTGATGGGTCAAGTGTCAGGTAGGGTTGGATCCAGGGGCTCAAAAGATGTTTTGGTAGCCGGGTCTTTCTGTATCCCTCTGTGGGACCGTTCTTCTCTCCATTGGTATCTGTCAGGGTGAATTTTCGTACATAGAGCTAGTTTGTGGTTTGCATATTATCTTCACCAATCCCAGGAGGAGTTACCCAGAGCCCAATATTGCTTCTCATTGGATGGCCTGAGTGATGGTACTGAAACCAGCCCCTGTGGCTGGTGGAGACTGATGAGGGAACCCTGAGCCCTGTCACCACTTTTCCTGGTTACAGGGTGAGGGGGGAGGGTTGCCTGAAACATGAAGTGAGGCGGAGGGAGGGTGGCCACCCACCCGTGGCCGATGGTGTGGGTTCCCAGAGAGCAGAGACGGGAGGTGGAGCCCGGAACTCATGGTTTGTGCTCATGGTTTGACATTAAAGACCTGGGGGTGCCATGCTGCAGGCCCAGCCCCGGGTGCTGGAGTGACGGTGCTCACTGGCTTAGTGTGATTCGCCAGATTGGCAGATAATTATGGGGAATTGGGAGCACTGAGGAAATACAGCAGGTGACACACACAGACTGGGCTATACTGTCCACAGGACCCTGAGGACTAAACCCACGCTGGGGCGTCACAGACTGCATGATGCAGGGGTTGGGCGTGTGGGCACCTTAACAGAAGTGTCCAGCTACAACGGCAGACTTCAGGCCTGTGAACCTGGCAGTTAGTCCACGGCTGGGCCGCTGCGTTTCTTTCTGGGCTCCGGGCTGTTAGAACAGTCTAGACAAGTCGGCCCACTCAGGTGCATGGCAGTGCCCTCCAAACCTGGTCACACACGAAACAGCGGAAAGAACCCCAGCTGCTGACGCCGGAGCCGCCGAACGAGGCTCAGGGTGTGCCTGGTCAGCCTCAGCCAACAGTCAGAGGCTGTCACTCGAAAGAGGTGACAATTGCTCTGGTGGCCCCTGAGTCTGTGGAGGGATGTGGCAGGGAGCCCAATGTCAAGGTCCTCATAATGAAGACCATCTGTCCAAAATCGGAACGAGCTGCCCAGGAGGGAGAGAAACGCTCGCTGTGAGAAATGCACTCACAGGTGTCCTGTGCCCAGGAGGGTGTCCATCAAGGGGGCAAGTGCACGGGTTGGCCCTTGTGGCCTGACTGGGGACCCCAGAAGAGGCTGAGGAGTTACCCAGAGACAAAGCTGTCCCCCACAGAGTGCCTGCCAGTGGCCAGGACACCTGGGCCTACAGAGAGGCTCCTCTCTGTAGCTGAGCATCTCCGTGGCCTTGCAGTTAGATCTTCCTGATAGATCTCCGGCAAGTGGGGTGGAGGTGAGATCCTGGCTCCCGGGGCCATTTGTCATTATTGACACCCTGGAGTTTTGGCTTCGTGGCAGGTGAAGCCATAAATAAGGGCCGAGCTGCTGCCTGGATTCATAACCACATGACTCTTCGTGGTGTGGGGTTCACTTTTTTTTTTTAAGCCTGTTTAATATCAAGGTCTCCTGAGAGCAGAGCCAGGCATTCCCTCTGGGATGCAGCTGCTGCCGGCTCTGAGGTTAAGGGTTGAATTACCTGGAGCAGCACTGTAGGAGGGGAGGGAGCTGATGGGGTCAGGCCAGGCGGGCTGGGGGACAGGTCAGCTAGGTTAGCTGAGTGACTCGGGCACAGTGGTGCTACTTGTCTCCTTCAGTGTGGATGAAGTTGTCCACATGAA